TTTTTTTTTTTTTTTTTTTTTTTTTTTGTGGTGGGAGTGCGATAGAAGCTTTTGAGAGTGGTATCTGCCAGTTCTTTATGAGATGTGTCTGTTCAGGCCTAACGAAATTGGCCGGATTTATGCTAGAGACGGATCATCTGTCTGGGATGAACTTGGGCAAAAAACGATAGTTCGTCCGATAATTCGTCTGTGAGTAAATACGGGCAAACAGACGGATCATCCGCCAAGAGAAATTGTCGTGATAGTTCGACTTGACCCACGAACTTTCGTGGATGATCCGACGTGTGTGTGTAAAATATCCACGAAACTTACACCCCGTTACAAGGAGCCAGCGATTATTTTCGATAAGCTAGAAATTTCAAGATGGCGGAAAAGTCAGCTGGTTGTTCGGAAAAGTCAAAAAAGTCCAAGAAAGCACGTGTGTGGACGGAAACAGAGCTTAAACACCTTGCGCTTGTTCTAGCTGACGAGAAAAAAAAAAGCAATACGCTATTCGACTGAAGACAATTGATAGAATAAATAAACATTTCCAGCTCTATATATTACGTCTAGTTGTTAAGCCCGCAACCGTTTTTATGCATGTGACTGCTTTTCCTAAATGGTTATGCACTAGCTATTCTTCACAAACTACTGTAGCAGTGATAAAAGATTATTTCAATATGTTCAGCGATTCCAGTTGACTGGGATGATATCATCTGCCGACATTAAATACAATGTTTGGGTAGATGAGTAAGTATAGTTTAATGTATAAATATAATGATAAGGGCGACAATTTTCTTTTGATGATATTTAATTTCGTTGTTTTTCTGTTCACAAGACAAGTATCAGTCCTCCCTATAACCAAAAAGTTAATTTCAAAAGAACATGTTTTTTTTGTTTTTGTTTTTTTTCAATAGGATATTCAAAGCTATAACTTACATTTGCAAGCGCGTAGGCGCTTAACATAAACAAAACTTTGTCGATGAAGAAGTTTAATTGGCATATGATAGAAAAAATGATCAAGGTATTTATCGCTTGGGAGAATTTTTTCGGTATATATAGGGAGTTGTGTTGTTGTATGTTATTTTATTTTATTTTATTTTATTTTATTTTTTTGGTCTGTGAGTGTCAGAGCGAACTGTTTCCTATCGATATCAGATAATTCGAGCCTTAGCCTTGATACGGAATCAATTATGACAAAAGCAAATATAGTCAATGAATGATTGAATATGTTTGGGATAAATAAATAAGTTAAGTGTAGTTAAGATTGGATATAGTTTTGAAAACTACGATTTTTGTGGACGATACTTTCTTGTTTTGTGGCTAAGGAGACAAGTAATAGTGTGCTCTATCAATGAGAGGTTTATTTGCGAGAACTCACGTTTAAAGTCAGTCAACCGAAGAAATATTAAACAACAACTCCGATAAAGTCACCTTGATCGCTGCTTGTACATGTCCTGTTTTAACACCACAGGACACGCATAGTGAGGCGCGCGAGGAGTTGGCGAATGGGTTGTTTGGTTGAGTAATCCTCTCAGGACGTCACAGACTAGCAAAATAACTCCACATAAAAAAAAAAAAAAGAAAATGAGAATTTAAATCTTAACATATGGATACGGATTGAATCATGTGTACTCGTTTTAAAACATCCCGAGCAAAATTAAATTGTTTGCACACTAAACATTTCGAAGACCGAAGCTCGAGCCTTTGCTATTTCTGGTTTAAAACTTGTAATTGTTTATATGAGCTTTATGATGACTACTTCTCAATGTGGTTGATAGCCGTGAGCAGTAATATACAATTATTACAGTGCTTTTAATTAATGCTCTAGTCAAATAGTCTGCGATATCAAGAAAAGACCCTGCAACAATTCACGTTTTAAGTCAGTTAGCTGATTCTCGATAACCGGAGAAAGATTAGACGGTAACTGTGAAAAGGCCGCTTTGATCGCTTCTAGTACTTCGGGACCATGCTCAAACATTAACAAAGCAAACTCTGCCAGAGCTGGTAACACGCATGACACTGAGAGAGTGAACTTTTACTACACGAATACTTAAACAGTCCTAATACCGAAAGCTTAGGAGACTATACAGATAACCTCCCGGAAATGCGGAGCTTATTCCAAAACGCATGGAACACGATCAATATATGCTCAACTTCGCTAACAGCATCGCACATATTATGCTATATCAGTGAAAAGACCAGATGAGCTTTAAAACCACACCCGAGTAGAATGAAAATGAAACTTACCTTTGGTAATAGGGCAATGTCGGACTCTCACAGTTTGAGGGCAGACTGCTTGCGCGCTAATATATCTAAAAGTCTCTGCATATTCAATGAAGCATACGGTGATCTGCGACTATTTTTGGGCGAAGGTTTTGACGCGTGTTTTTGTTGAATACTAACAATAGAACGAACTTAGCGACAGTTTGCAAGGTAATTAGCTGATCTCACGCAATAGTTATCCGCAGCAGGTTAGTTGGGTTCAGTGATTTTCAAAGAAACCACCGTTTTGGATCAAAAATCGCTGAGGTTTGTAGAAACAAAGCCCTCTTTTTTAGTGACGTATTCTGTTTTTATGTTTTGTAGATTTAAATTTAAATGCCAAGTCGTGATTATCCCTCAAAGGCATTCTACACTTCTGAAAGGCATATTTGTTCTTACAAATAAACGAATAAAACCGTTGAAAATTTCTTACATGCCTTAAGAACAGATCAAATCTGGTGAAAAAGAGAAAACAAGAGGAAAATCTTACAGCTGAAGAGATTAGCATGTCTAAAGAGATAAAAACACTTGGAAGTTTTCTTGGTAGTTTTATGTACTAGAGACGCATAATCCGTTGGAGCGGACTCGGACAGGTGCCTTTTAGTGCCTTCCTTTGCGTCCTAGTAATAGGCAGAAGACTGTTAATTCGTCAAGGGGAAGAATCTGTCGAACAGATATCTTAGTGTTGTAATGTGTGTCCTCTTTACAACAAAGTAGACGCATAATGAACCGCTTGAAGAGTTGGTGAATGACTTTCGGACTAGCAAAACAACTCGACATAAGGAAATAAGAAAGGGAACCTTAACGTGAATACGGATTGAATTATTAATAGTCAGTTACATGTAGTCAATTACATGTAAATTCAGTCGAGTGAAATTTAACCGTTTCCACAGTCAGCCTTTTACCTCGGACATTTCACAAACCGAAGCTCAAGCGGCTGCTATTTCTGGTTTTACTTCATGAATTTCTTATTGCTTGTATGAGTTTAATGACTGCTTCTCAATGCGGTTGATAGCCGTGTCGGACTCTGAGAGTTTGCGAGGAGACTGTTTGTGGGCTCTTATGTCTAAAAATATTTGCATATCCACTGACGCACTGGCGATGATAATGTGATCTACAATTATTACTGGACGAAGATTTAGAGTTGTGTTAAACAGTAAAAATAGAAAGAACTTAGCGACAGTTTGCAAGGTAATTAGCTGATCTCACGGGTTGGTTATCAGTGGTTGGTTGGTTGGGTTCAGTGATCTTCAAAGAAACCACCGTTTCGGATCAAAAAATCGCTGAGAGGATTGTAGACTTGCGAAAGCTTAAGAACGCCCACTTTTTGAATGACGTTTTCACTCTTTTATGTTTTGCAGACCTTAAAGTGCCATTCCTGATTATACCTCGAAGGCATTCTACACCTCTGAAAGGTATATTTGTTCTCACAAATAAACGAATAAAGCCGGTTAAAATTTTTAACATGCCTTAAGAACAGATCAATTCTGGACGAAAAGAGAAAACAAGAGGAAAATCATACAGTTAAAGAAATTAACTTGTTTAAACACATGAAAACAGTTTAAAGTTTTATTGGTAGTTTTGTGTACTAGAGAAGCATAATCCGCTGGGGCAGACTTGGGCATGTGCTTTTAGTTTCTTTACTTGCGTCTCAATATACGGCAGAAGACTGGTAATTCGTCAAGGGGAACTATCTGTCAAACTGAAATCTTAGTGTAAGAATAGTATGTGTCCGGTTTTAACACCACAGGACACGCATAGTGAACCGCTCGAGGAGTTGAAGAGTGGGTTGTTTGGTTCAGTTATCCATTCAGGAATTCACAGACTAGCAAAACAATTCCACATAAAAAAATGAGAATTTAAACTTCAACATATGGATACGGATTGACTCATGTGAAGTCGTTTTAAAAAATCCAGAGCAAAATTAAATTGTTTCCGCGGTAAACATTTCACAAGCCGAAGCTCGAGCCTTTGCTATTTCTGGTTTTAAAACTTGTAATTGTTTGTATGAGCTTTATGATGACTACTTCTCAATGTGGTTGATAGCCGTTAGCAGTAATAAGCAATTATTACAGTGCCTTCGATTTTCTAGTCAAATAGTCTGCGATATCAAGAAAAGGTTCCTGCAACCGTTTACGTTTTAAGTCAGTTAGATGATTCCAAAGAAAGATTTAGACAATAACTACGAAAAGGCCGCTTTGATCGCTTTTTGTACTTCAGAACCATGCTCGGACATTAGCAAAGCAAACTCTGCCAGAGCTGGTAACATGCATGATAGAGAGTGATCTTTTACTATACAAATACTTAAATAGTCCTAATACCGAAAGCTCAGGGGACTATACAGATAACCTCCCGGAAATGCGGCGCTTATTTCAAAACGCATGGAATACGATCAATATATGTTAAACTTCCCTAACTGCATCGCACATATTATGCTACATCAGTGAAAAGACCAAACGAGCTTTAAAACCACACCCGAACAGAATGAAAATAAAACTTACCTTTGGTAATAGGGCAATGTCGGACTCTCACAGTTTGGGAACAGACTGCTTTTGCACTAATATATCTAAAAGTATCTGCATATTCAATGAAGCATACGGTGATCTGCGACTATTTTTGGGTGAAGGTTTTGACGCGTGTTGTGTTGAATACTAACAATAGACCGAACTTAGCGACAGTTTGCAAGGTAATTAGCTGATCTCACGGGATAGTTATCAGTAGCAGCTTAGTTGGGTTCAGTGATTTTCAAAGAAACCACTGTTTTGGATCAAAAATCGCTAAGAGGTTTGTATATAAATTTGCGAAACAAAGCTCTCTTTTTTAGTGACGTATTCTCTGTTTTATGTTTTGCAGACTTTAAAGCGCCAAGTCATGATTATCCCTTAAAGGCATTCTACAATTCTGAAAGGCATATTTGTTCTCATAAATAAACGAATAAAACCGTTGAAAATTCCTTACACGCCTTAAGAACAGATCAATTCTGGTGAAAAAGAAAAAACAAGAGGAAAATGCTACAGCTGAAGAAATTAACATGTCTAAAGACATGAAAAGAATTAGAAGTTTTCTTGGTAGTTTTATGTACTAGAGACGTATAATCCATTGGAGCGGACTTGGACAAGTGCTTTTAGTGTCTTTCCTTGCGTCCCAGTGAAAGGCAGAAGACTTGAAATTCGTCAAGAGGAACTATCTGTCGACTAGATATCTTAGTTTGGTAGTATGTGTCGTCTTTACAACAAAGGAGAGGCATAATGAACCACTTGAGGAGTCGGCGAATGACTTTCGGACTAGCAAAACAACTCGACATAAGGGAATAAGAAAGGGAACCTTAACGTGAATACGGATTGAATTATTATAATAGTCAATTACATGTAGTCAATTACATGGAAAATCAGTCGATTGAAATTTAACTGTTTCCACAGTTAGCATTTTACCTGGGGCATTTCACAAACCAAAGCTCAAGCGGCTGCTATTTCTGGTTTTACTTCATGAACTTCTTATTGTTTGTATGAGTTTAATGACTCCTTCTCAATGCGGTTAATAGCCGTGTCGGAAATGAGAGTTTGCGAGGAGACTGTTTGTGGGCTATTTTGTCTAAAAATATTTGCATATCCACTGACGCACTGTGCCGGTAATAATGTGATCTGCAATTATTGTTGGGCGAAGATTTAGAGTTGTGTTAAACAGTAATAATAGAAAGAACTTAGCGACAGTTTGCAAGGTAATTAGCTGGTTTCACGGGTTAGTTATCAGTGGTTGGTTGGTTGTTTCGGTTCGGTTCAAAGCTGTAACTTACATTTGCAAGCGCGTAGGTGGTTAACGTAAACAAACCTTTGTCGATAAAGTTTAATTGGCATGCGATGGAAATATGATCAAGATATTAATCGCTCGGGAGAATTTTTTTACGGTATATATAGGGAGTTATTAATTATGTTATTCTATTTTATTTTATTTTATTTCATTTTAATTTATTTTACTTTTTTTTTTTTTTTTTT